ATAATATTATTTCTGTCTGTCAATACAAGGAACAGAGTTTCCAAGAGTTTTAAGTACTTGCTTGTATAGGGAAGAAGCAGGGCACACACCTGGTGTCTGGCTTCCACCCAGCATTTGCCCCAGGATCAAGGAGAAGATGATTACACAAAGGTTCAGACGTCAGTTCTAGTCATAACTTTGTGAGCTCAGGTGGACACTCAAGCTGCCCAAGCCTTGGTTTTTTCATATTTACACCATGGCCCCTTTCTTCTCAGTTTCCTTGGGCTCTTCAACAGTCACAAGTAACTGCATATGTTGAGGGTGTACTGTGTGTCCTATAACACAGTCATCAGCCCATGGTTAGGAGGGCTCCTGGCTCAGGCTGCTGTCGATGTCCCTGATTCTGGGTGGTCAGGGATTGCTGTGTGCGGAACACTGGTCAACCTCTGGCCTTCCTGAGACAGATGGTCCCATGAGAAGGCTGCAAGTTGCTGGGGAGTCTACCAGCTGGGAATCTGGGAGCGTGACTTGTGCATAACTGGAGGTGGTTTGGAAGGCGGGCTTCCCACGTCCTCTGCAGCCAGCCAACTAGCATACCATCTCTTGTGCCGCATTTACAGTTCAAGGTGGGCTATAAAAATAGGAATATACCGAATTCTGGAGGTTTGAGCATCTGTTCGAGGCAGCACAGCCATTAGGAGCTTAGGCATTCCTAAGAAAGACTATGTACTCTTTATGGCTTACTGCCTGAGAGAGGAGTTTGTTCAAGCCCCAGATCAAAACTGCTGTCTGTGTCTAAAGCCATTGTGGGAAGCCAGGCTGCCCCCGCCCTGGGATGACTGAAGTTAGGGTTTTAACTGGGCACTGAAGCTTGAGGTTGACGTGGAGCTGGGACATGTCCAAGGGCAGCTCCCCCAATGCCTACAGAATGAAGTTCAGTGTCACCAATGTACAGCTGGAGGTTGAGTCTAACCTCAATAAGTGTTTCATCAGTAATCACTACTGCTTCCCCCTGATCCTCTCCAGCTGTCAGTCAGGCCCTTTACCCTCCCTTGAACATTATCTGAACATTCCCACTTCTCTGCCCTTTCCACTTCCAGTCTGTGTCTATCTCTCCTGCCCTCCCCAAAGGAACTCCGTGGAGATGCCTCCTGCCCCCATAAGCCTCCTGCCTAGTCCAGCCAGTGTGGATGCTCCCTGGGGGGCACCTGCTTTCCTTCACTTCTCATACCCTGACGGTGCCTCCTGCCCATAGTGGGCACTATAGAAATCTAAGTAGCCTACTTTTGTTTCTCCCCTTTGAGAACAGGGTGGGGTGGGGGGGGGGGGGGTCATTTTTTGGTACTTCTTTGAGATGATCATATTAGGTGGCACCTAAAAGGTAGTTAATATACATAAATCAATAAATTAAAATTCAGACTCTAGCTTGGATAGGGTTCAGGATCC